CCCTCCACCCCCCTGCCCCATCCCACCCTCTTTTTTGCTAAGCCGTGCATCAGCACCGTGAATTCCAAGAAGCAGTAGGTGTTTCTTGGCATTTCAACCGGGATTTTGGAAAGGGAAGCTGGGTATTTAATGGGAAAAAATTGCGATGGAAGGAAGGGATGCGGAGGCTGCACACAGCCTTGGGTTTGCAGGCGTGTGGAAGTTGTTGAAATAGGTAAAGGGTCGAAACTGGCATTTGGAAAATGGTGACTGTTTCTTTAGTTACTTAAATGATGCACGAATATAAGGGAAAACTGGGCCACTAAGAATTTTTCCTGTTTTGCGGTTTTCTGTCAGCAGAAGGTAAAACATGTCATTGAAAATATAAAATTTTACATAAACAGCTGATGTTTACATAAGCCTAGATAAGTTTGTGAAATACACAGATCGCCGAAGATGCAGTGCTAGCTGAACTTGGCTATCCTGCTGTTTGTCCATGTAATAATTTATCTTCTTTTTTTTTTTTGTATTGTTGCAGTGTAAGAACAAAGTGAGCATCTGCATCTCTACCAAAGCAACCACCTGCATTCCTTCTCTCCTCTGGAATGGACAATGGGATGGTCTCTGGCTTTATCATGATCAAAAACTTCTTCCTCTTCTGCGTTTCCATGAGTTTAGCCAGCCACTTCGGGTGAGTTGCCAGTTTTTGCTGTGGGTTTTTTAGGAAATGAACAACCTTGGCTCCGTGTGGTGTGGAGCAGTTGAACACAACAAGCGGGCTTTGCATTTCATCTTAATGTGCTGGTGTCACAGGGGAGGGAGCACTTTGCTTTCCTGCTCAAATTTACTATCTCCTATGAGTTCTTTATGCCCGTAGCGCTGTTGCGGCGAGGCTTGGGGGGCACGGGGAGCTCAGACCAGGCCTACAGCTGCTGAGTAGCAAAGTAGCTACAGTAGCAGAGCTGGGGGCTGCAGTGCTCCCTGCCTCCGTGTCTGTGACAAGGGGGGCTTGCACTGTCCTTCTCACCTGGCAGGTGCAGGCTATAGGCAGTAGTGCAGGGCTGCAGCAGCAGGACTTGGAGCCTGCTGCTGGCTGGTACAGGCTTTCCTACCGAGTAAGCTAAGATTGTGGCTGCTCAGAAGGATGGCTGAGTTTGAAACTTGCTGTAATAATTAGAAATTGTGTTTCCCTGAAGTGTATAACAAGTAATCCCGTTTCCTTATTTTGGCTTTGGATACCTTCTTGACAGTGATGTTCTGAAAACTATATTGAAGAAATACTCCTACTATAGCTTTTAGGGAAAAAAAAAAACCCAAAACCAACAACAACCAACAAGCAAACAAAAAACCCCCCACAAACAAAAAACAGAAAATCCTTATTTATATGTCTTTTCCTAAAGCCATAAATCTTAAGAACTTTCCAAAATTGGGCTATGCAATGGAATCTAGAAAAAGCATTTCACAAGTGCTCTGGAAATGTAGGTTGATTCTTTTTTTGTGGAGGAGAACAATTATTTATGATTTCACCAGAAAAAAATGAATCCTCCCAACGTGCTGATTTACAAGCACACCCATCGATTCCTTGCTATAAGAAGATATAAAATGGAGATGCAAATCAGTCTGCGTTTTCAAGCAAAGTGATTTTTTTTTCCAGATTTGAACTAGGAGAAAGACCAAACTTTTGAGTGATCACTGTCAATGCTCTAAACAAAACTTAGCCCTGTCTCCAGCCTGTGTCCTATGTAGGCAGTTGGAAGCCTGTGACCACAGTGGCTTACGTGAATGGTTGTAGGACTGCACACTACAAAGGGTGCAAAGAGCTGCACACTGATTTATTCACCTTGGAAAAGCTTGATCCTGCTTTCACTGTGGTCTAAGGCAAAACTCCCTGGACTTTGTGATAGAAATGAAGAGGGCTTAGATAGCATGGGACTGGTTTTAAACTTGTCTTGACATGGTTGTAATTTGACAAAGTATTGCCCCATTGAGAAAATCTTCAGGACTGTAGCCTAAAGTTCTCCCTGATGGTCCATCATCCCTGCAGAAGGTAGCACATTGCAATAGTTGAGCATGACCTGTTTGGTGTGGGGTCTTTTAACTGTGTTAACTCATCTAACAGAATAATAGATAGGTGAGACTGCAAAATGTATGAAAAAGGTTTAACTCTCCCTTTCAAGTCCAAAGCAAATACTGAATCTAAGTCCCAGCTAGGAATCGGTGTGACCTGTCACCTGGCAAATAATCAGAACAGGACAGTTAGGGGAAACTAGGACACTTGTTTTCTGCAAGTTACTCAGAAAGCTTCTGTGCACTAAAATGAGATCATCATATAACTCCCCCCACCCCCCCGCCCCCCATTTCAGATCTAGTAATTTTAGTCCAGGCCTGCAGAGATAAGCAGCTGCAATTTGCTGCACCGTTCACATGCTGCCTTAGGGCTGAATTTTGACCCTGCTCAAAAGACAGAGGATGCTCCACCGGTTCTGTTTCAGAGGCAGAAGCAGTTTCAGAGTGTAATTTGCTAAGTGCTTTGGGACTGACTCTTCAGGACAGAATGGTACAATGTACATGTAGGCTGGTATATTAACTGCAAGAATCTAATACTGATAATACTTGCTGTTGCTACCAGGTTTTTCTTTATTAGCTTCATCCATGTTTGGACTGCACTCTTACAGTGCAGTGCATTTTTGCAAGATTATCTGATAAAGTGATTGGTCAAATGAGCGCAAATTAAAAAAACAAAATACAATAGGACATTACAGATAGAAGCAGAGATTTGTCTATGATTCTCCATAGTCATTCCATATTTATATTAGTTAATAGATAGTTTTTGCTGACATAGCCAAAGCCACCTTGACGGATTTTGATGTGCGATGCCTGGTAAAACAAACAGGATTTATGTATCACAGTCTCCTAGGCTACTTCAGAAATCTCAGCAAAAGTCTGGGATTAATGTTTAACATAAATACGACTATCGAGAGTTATCCACATCAATAGGTGGTAGAGAAGGACTGTAGGCATAGTTGGTACAAATTATTCAAAAAAACCAAAACAGAATTAAAATTCAAACATACAGATGAAACGAGAAGAGAGTGCAAAGCCCTCCACTGTTGTTGGTGTTACAACATTATGAGTCTACTTCTGCAGAAATGGTCCAGCACGAGTCAAGGCTTTTTCAAGCCTGCTTGAATTCAAGCCTTGAGTTGTATAATGCTCTAATGAGTTAAGGTATTTTACTGAAGTACTTCAATCTAGTTCATGCTTGTCTTGAAAGTAAACATTAATAATAGAGCTAGAGAATAATTTAAAGTCAAATATAACCATGAAGAGTATTTTCAGGTGAGACATGAGACTGATTCCTCCCATCTGTTTTGCGTGAAGGGTTGCACTGAATTCAGTCTCAGTTTCACGAGTGCAAGGCCTGCAGGGTCAGGCTGACAAAACCAAGCAGAAGGTGGGTGCTCTCCTGGCAGGGGGTCATTGGAAATGCAAAAATAATTCGGACTCTGCTCCTTTCAGACTGATGCCCACAAGAGTGATGCTGTGAGGCTGAGCATATCAGTCAAGGAAGGAAATCAACGTACTCAGGCTCCTGTCCTGCCAGGCTCCACGGGTGCTGTGGCACTACCCAGCATCTGGCACTTTCTGGCCCTCAGGGAGGCCATGGTGGGCAAGGGCGCGCACAATGGCTGACTGCCTGCACCGAAATCTGCCTGAGATGAGGTAGCATTGCAGTCAGCCCCATGCCAATAAACTTCGCTGCTTCCTGAATCATTTTTGCAAGCCCCAGCCTGTCCACGGGGCAGGGGCTTGCGTGTCCACTGACGCACAGTCCCTGTGCATTTGCATTTTAGATGAGCGATTTCAGAAATCTGTCCGAGAGCTGAAATCAATGGGGATGGATGTTGTTGGTGTAACCACAGTTTAGTTGTCATCTGCTAATAATATTTATAATAGTATAAACACGGAAAACAGAAGATCTCAATTAAATGTAGCCAATGCAATACTTTTCTGTACACTGTAAGAATTCAGTCCATGGCTTGTCTACAGTTTCACATACTTTTCCACTAGCTTACGGCCCTTATCACTAAGACCACAATCCTGCTATTTAGGCTAAATGTACCTCTCCTTTAGGCTGTTATTTCAGGTTAGTCTCTGCAGTCCTAAGCAGTTAGTTCTGCTGGGTTATCCGTTTCCAAGTACTTGCAGATGCTAGGGAGTTCTTCCTCATATTTTTAAGATTAATATTGTAAGAATTACCATATGTTTATGCAGTCATGCTTATCCTTTTTTTTTTTTTTTAAATTCTGTTTTCCTTTCCTTCTGCATGCTTCCAGATAGCTTTTTGAACCAGTAGACAATTTTAATAACTGGAAAACTAAGTGGTTACCTAGAACTGCTTGGAGGAGGCAGACAGACATCAGTCAATCCCTCTGCCAAACAGAAAGTGATGGCTTCAGCATCTCTGTTTCCCTTGGCCTACTGGCTGGCCAAATAGCAGGCATGTACCCGCAGACCATCCAGCACGTGCTTGGTGCAGGATCAGCCCTGGCACATGTTGCCTCCTAGTGAAGCTGCCGTTCGGTGACTTGGGGAGCTGAGAGTACTGGGAGATGTTTAGTGACTGGGAGAAATTCAGGATATTGAAAAGGGTGTTAAGGTGCAAGGGGATGAGGATGATAAGATGTTGCCCTGTGAAAAACAGGCTTCTGTTGCACTGCTCGCAAATTGCTCAGTCCCAGAAGGTAGTAAAATACTGGTCTTGCTAAATAAAGGAATTAAATTATTCCTTAAGGATCTTCAAAGACCATTAAAGTTCCATCATTTTAGTCAGTCCTCTCCGCTATCCTAATCTGATATGAAAGAATAGAATCTTCATTGCACAAATTCACAAAATAACAGCATGTTTAGATCTTGAGGATCCATAAAAAAAGGATGGCAAGAAGCTAACTTAGAAAAGTAAATCTATTTCCTTTGATGTCTGGCTAGCTGACAGTATTCAAAAGTGTGCAAGTGTGTTCTCCACTGTCTTTTCCACAAACTGTTAATTTCTCTGAAGTTCTGGTATAATTCCAGTCCTATTAAAGCAAGTTATCGGCAACTCTAGTCTTAAGAGAAAGTGAGGGGAAAAAAAAAAACAACCAACTTTCAGTCACAAAATACTCAGTTATTTTTTCCAGTGTCTCTTACTTTTTTCTTTTTTTAAGTTTTGGGAAAATCATGAAATATCTAATGTACCTTTTCATCTTATTACGACTAAGCTATGAATAGTACCTGTCATGATTTTGACTAGATGGCAAAAAAGACAATGATGTTTAAATTAGTAAATGACGAACTCCTCGGAGGAAGTAGCTGAGCATCTTTCGAGAGTTACTACATTTTACACTGATGTGCCTCTTCTGTAGCTTATGATTTTTCCAGTCACCCTGAAATTGCAGTATTAAATAAATGTGATGAGAAGTATTCCTGGTTGGTTTAGTTTATGTTCAATAATGAGCTTTAAATGTAATTATCTCTGAATTTTCTTAGCATTTCCTAAGGTTCTTTTCAAGGTTTATTTTTATCCATAACTGAAAGTATCTGCTATAAAAACATTTTCGGTTGCAGAGAGGCAGTAGTGTACTTACCTGCTAATATGTTGATAAAACCTGATCTTTAGCTATGTGGAAATAATTAGTTTAGGATAGCTCCTGTTTCCTCTCTATTCTTAGAGCTATAGTATCTAATATATGCATGTAACTTTACAAGTACCGTTTAAAGGTCTAATGTCATAAAAGACAACCTCAGCACTTACTCCAAAACATGTATTTCACCAGCAATCTCAAAAATAGAAATTAAATGCTAACTTTTCAGTAACATTTGCATTAGTGGCAAACAGTAATCCATCTACAAATGCAACTTCACATAATACTGACATTTTGCCGAAGTTCAGCGTCAGATGCCTTCTTTTTCGGGTGAAGCGATCTGCCAAACCTAAATTGGATTGCAGATTTGCAGATGAAGTGCAGACTCTTTATGAGTCTTCGCCCTAGTTGTTTCTCCATCTTTTTCATCTATTAATTAGCTTTTCTTGTGGAGGTATGAAAGTATTTCAGTATTTGAGGTGTGTATGCTATTCTTGTGAAAGATATACGTAGCTGAGATAGAAGGAAGCAACATCAATAACTTTTGTTAGATTCAGAGGAGCAGTTATGAGAACTAAATATATTTTGTCCCATCCCCACAAAAATAGTTCAATGGAAATCTTCCCTCTGAGTTCAACTGGCTTTGAATTCAGCCATAAGCACTAAAAATAACTATCTTTTTCAAGAGCAGAGAAACTAGTGAAGCTTTTGTATCCTGTGCCCCCAGCACCGTACCTTTGCAGTACTCCTGGCTCCACATTTGGCATCCCTTGTTCCCATCTCCCATTGCAACACCTATGTTTTACCTCTGAGGTACTTTTCTCCCAGGATCTTTACTAATCACCCTGCAAATCTCCTCCACATCTCTTAATTAGCAGAGAGGAGGTGGGCTGGTTTTGCTGAGGCTGTTTCTGAGCTACATGCGTGCTGACTGGCCCAGTCAGCGAGCCAGGGGGAATAGATGACTGCTGACCTCACATTTTTACTTAATGAGGCACTAATTTAGATCTCTCTCCCCTTGTCTAGTCACTGCTTCTCATGAAACTTGTAGGAATGAAATGAAGTTTGATCTCTCTGCTTCTTTGTTAGATGCACTGGAAAATGAAAATGGGTTTCTGGATTGATACAGTGAAGCAGGCAGTCAGCATGCTTTTTCTTATGAAAAAAAGAAGCTAAAATAAATGAGAAAAGTTTAAAATAGTATTCTAGGATTTTACAAAAGCATTAGTTATGGTCGCTGCTTGGAGACCTTCGTAACTTCTGTCTCCTGTTTGTATTTGTTAGGCCGCTGCTTGTAAATGTGCACCTTTAGGTGGTGAATGTCTTTGATCACGATTGACAAAAAAGTCTACGGTCTTTTGTCTTGAATGGTGCAGTCTGCAAGGTGATCTAACATTTCTGTAATCCGTTTGCATCTGCTGGATTAACTGTCTTGCATTATAGTCAAACATGTCCGCGATGTTGTCTGCCTCAGTTACTCACTAGAGGTTGTCATCACAGCATAGAAAAAATAATTAATTTGGTTTTTTGACCACGGAGAGATGGGATGGCCTAAAAACTGGGTGAGATTTGCGGCCATGCCTCCACCTGCAGTGAAGGGGAGCTTCTGGTGGCCTTGGGCTCTCCAGAGTTGAGCTTGCAGAGGGTTGCAGCTGTGGCACCAGCACTTGTGCTGTGAGGAGCCTCCTTGGCCAGGTGTATGCAGGTGCTTTGGCCTTCCTGGGAATTGGACCCATGCTCCCACCACCTGGCCTTGCTCCGCTTTCCTGAGAGGCTTTGCCATCCTTTCCTTTTCCAGCAGAAGCACAGAAGCTGTAAAGGGAACAGGTGCAGGACTGGGAGTTCCCACATCTGTGAGGGGCCATCCTGAGACAGATCTTGTGTGACTAAAACTTCCAGGCCCATTACACTGGTGTCAGTGAGGTCCCAGTAGTGTGAACCTTGCACAGGTAAAACCAGTTTGATGTCCCTTGTTTTTCTTTATATAAATCCTGTTCTGTTAGGTAAGCCTAACGCATATGTTACAAGCATTCTGCAAGGCAAGCTGCTCTGAGGGATGCTTTGAGGTTCTCTATTTATTTACTGATTTATTTCCCTGGGGACTGGTAGTAAACAAACATGGATTTTTAATTTTTGTTTATCCCTGGGTGACTGGCTCACATCGAGTTCAGGTTGTTGGGGTGTAAGTGATTGCTGGCTCCTGGCAGGGTGCGTGAGGCAGGGTACGGTTCCTAGTGGGGTGATGTGCCCTCTGTCACAGCTGGAGCGTTGGTTGGTGATTTCAGCAGAGACTGAAACTTGAATAAGCACTGAGTGTGAGCAAACTTGCTGTCTTAAGAGATGCTCATTGCTTGCTGCAGGTAAAACATGCTTATGGATAAACTCCTATGTCTGTTCTTTAGGTATGCAAAGACAATAGTAGGCAAGGGATTCTTCTCAGCATCTTTAAATGAAAATCAAATGGACTTAAAATGCAAGTTATAGTTGTGCTGTGAGCTGGGGAATCAGCTACATCATACCTGATCAGACAAGTTTAAAATAAAAAAATCAGTGATGTTTTGTGGGCTTAAAGGACCATATCTGAAATACTTATGTACATATCTCACTGAAATAAAAAAGAGTTTGGAATAAAAACAAGTCTGGCCCAAACGATACGGCATGAGGCCCACTACACATTGTTGTTATTTGCATACTACAAGGGAGGACTGATTTATGCAAAAGAGGGAGGAGGAATGAAGAACTGTGTTTTCTGCACTGCAGTACATTTTTCAGATACCCCGGTGATCTAGGGTGTGATTTTTGAACACAGTGGGAGTTCATTATCCTCAAATGAGGCTAGAGTTCATCCTTTGTTCTGTCAATAAATTACATAAACTGTGAAAATTAGGAGCTGTTTGGCATGTAAGCATTAAAGATTACCTTCAGACAGACTTGAAGGAGTGTCCCCAGGCAAACCTGTGCTGCTCATGCAGCTTCCCTGCCAGCTGATCCAGTTCCTGAAGACTGGAGAGCTAACCCAGGGAAAAACCAGTAACAGCTTCTGCTGGCCCTGTGAGCCAACCTTGCTCCTTGCAGGGGATGGAGACATGGTAAGTGGTGGGGCTGAGGTGAGGCAGGGCAGAGCAGGGCACTGAGATCTCCCTGTCCATTATGGTGAGAGAGTCAGGGGGCTCACACATCCCTCGATCCAGGGCTGTACCTCCATGGCATCATCCTTGCTTGGGTCCTGCTCCTCCAGGGAGAGTTATTTATGGTTGCTTATAGCAGTGGTGAAGTCACTGCAGCTCCCTGTGCCACTCAGCTGGAGCTTCAGGAAAGGTCAGAGGCTCCATTGCAAAATTCCCTTGAGACTGAAGCCCCTTGAGGCTGGCACGGCTTTTGATGTGTTTCTTTTCATTTGCGTAAAATAGCTTCTCGCAAACGCCAACAGCATCGGGAAAAGAGGACGCCAATGATAACATCACTATATTCACCAGGATCTTGGACGGTCTGCTGGACGGCTACGACAACCGACTGCGCCCGGGACTGGGAGGTAGGATAACATGTTCGCTGTGGCCAGTCTCCCACTATGCGGACCATAGTTTACATGATGCCCTCCCGAATGAGTTCCTGCTCTCAGCACGGGCCTTGATGACGGAGGTGTGTTTCATTAGTTAAACAAAGCCCAGAAAGTACATTTGTCTCCTGGCAAATGGGGCACAATACAAAGGTCTCTGAAAGTCATCTTCTTTCAGTCATTGAGGTAATCTGAGGTTGGGTTAAGAGAGCACATGCAATGCATTTTTCCTGTAGTTAAATACAGTTTGGGTTTCTTTTCTTTCTGGTACTCCCTAAGGTGAGTGAGGCAGGGTACTAGCAGGTTGCTGCAAAGTTCCCTCACTGGTCAGCATATATAAAATTATGCTGGTGACAAAAATCTTTATTAAAAACAGATCCCCAAACCATCCATTTTTAGACAGCTACAGTAAATCTGTATTGATATGTCATTTTGATAACCTTTACAGTAGCTATTTTAAAACCATAACGTGAATAGTTGCTTGCCTTCCTAACCTTTTTGAGCCCTCCTTCAGCTCTCTATCCCCCAGATTTCTCTCATCTTCTACCCATGTGTAAACCATCTGTTATGTTTCTTCCTAGCCCTTTTTTAGTCTGGCTACCCCCTCCCCTTCCTCTTGTGAGACCAACACATTGCTTTCATCCCTTTCTCTCCTTCTCCTCTCACTTTACAGAGAAGCTTGAAAATAGGGCTCAATGCTCCTATCTTATGTAATGAACTTCTGAAACTTCTGCCCTTAAATTAAATTAGTCCTGGATTTGAAAAGATGCCAGAAAGACTTAGAGTCTTCAGGGTAGAATTAATTTTGCCTAACTTTGGACATCTATAATATAGATGTCTGAAATTGGGCAGATGACCCAAGCCAGCAGAAGGGAATAGGTCCTTCCAAGACACAATTGATCTCATCCCATAGTAGGTGTTGAAACCTGTCGATGAGAGGAATTGTACCTTCAAAGGGTCTGTTTCTTTCCACTCATTATAAGCAGAGAGCCTGGGCTCCCAGAGATTGCCATCTGCATTTGATCAGGGATGAAATTCCTCCTCAAACAACTTCTTGCTTTCAAGTTTTTGGGTGTTTTTTGAGTGACTCAGAAATTGTTAATAGAGAAATGCATCAGAAGCACGTATTTACATCTTAAAACAATTACTAAACCAGAATCTATATTTATTACAGAGAGAATAACTCAGGTGAAAACAGACATCTATGTAACGAGTTTTGGTCCTGTGTCAGACACAGAAATGGTAAGTTTGAGCACATGGCTCCCAACTCCTTTGTATTTACTTTGTTAAACTAATTTTCAGAACCATCACTTCTTTTCAGACCCTGCAATACCTTGACTGTTTCTTTGTGCCAGGAATATACCATTGACGTTTTTTTCCGACAAAGCTGGAAAGATGAAAGGCTGCGATTCAAAGGGCCTATGCAGCGCCTCCCTCTTAACAACCTGCTCGCCAGCAAGATTTGGACACCAGACACTTTTTTCCACAACGGCAAGAAGTCTATTGCTCACAACATGACAACTCCAAACAAACTTCTGCGCCTGGAGGATGATGGCACTCTGCTGTATACCATGAGGTAATAACTGGGATCAATTTCTTCTGGTGCCGATTGCCAGCTAGTTCTGCAAATACTTGTGGGGAGCACCACTTCCCCCACGTAGCAGAGCCGGACAACCAATCTTTCACACATATTTATGTGACTATCAAGAAAAATGGAAAATATAATTGCTGCCTACAAGTACCAATTAATTTGTAGCTTCTGAATACTGCTAGTGCTTAAATATTTCCTTTGATTAAATGGAAGGCATATTCTCAACAGATTTGATGATTCACTCTAGCTTTTTTATGAAGATCTGTTCTCTCTTACTGTTTGTATTTGCAGCTGCAGTGCTGGTTGCAGGAGAACTGTCTCCAAGGCCAGAAACTGAGATCTTGTTCTGGGGCAGCACATCTTGAACCCTTGGAGCTCTCATTATTATTTTTTCGGTTTCATTAATGGTGTTTAAAGGGAAATCATCACAGGGATAAATGAAATAAGCTAGCAGCACTGTGAAGCTGCTTTAGCATATTTTCCTGAAAACAAAGCTGACACATTGTATTGGCGGAGAAGCAGACTGGTGTCTCAAATCTTCAGGGTCGTGCTCCTCATCTGATTAGAGGATACTGTCAACCTTCATCATTGCATAACCTAGATACAAGTTACAATATCAGTGATGTTAGAGGATTGTCTGAAATTCTTCCCAGACCAAATCCCAGATCGATGTACAGCAATTTGCTCATTAAAGGTAATTAGCCTGCAGTAATTAAGACTGCCGTCTATCTTCACCAGGGTTTTCTCCAAGAGCATAATCATACGGACACTTGAAAAGGAGATGAAGGGAAAAACCTACAGAGCAACAAAGTGTTTTTCTGTACTTTTCAGGTACGAGCCCAGAGTGGTGCCTGCGACCCAGCAATGTGCTCGGGAGCTTGAGGTTCAATGTTGAAATACCCGGGTTTTCAGCAGGCAGCCCCCAAAAGAGGGAGCGGGGAGCTGAACTCCCACAGGTACCCCATCCTGCTGTGGGGCTGAGCCGACAGCTGCCTGCGGCCGCAGCTTGGGAAGGGGAGCTCCCAGCTCACTGCCAGGGCCCAGTGGTTAAGACCTGTTGGGGCTTAAGGGGATTACACTTTTACATGTGGTCACCTGGAGCTTCCTAGGTTTCATTTCAGGTTTTTCTGACCTGTTTGTTTTATTTATTTATTTTAGCCTTAACCTTCTATCCCTTTTTCTGAAAGGAAGAGAGATTTAGGAGAAGTAAGGTATCCTTACATAAGTCCTTACAGCATTAGAACATCATGGTTGTAACTGTACTAGTGCTAAGAAGACTTAGACATGATAGAGTTTGTGTTTAAAAGAAGGAAAAAACCCTCTTTTTCTCTTCTGCTATGTGTATTGCTGTTCTTACTAGCCCCAAGTTAGTGAGCTCTGCAATAATAGACTCCTGAAACAATGTGAGGATACACATAAATGCTTAAATGAAGTCAGCATAACTATCAGGCAAACCTATATTTCACAAAAATATTGGTAATGACAACCTTGAAACCAGTCTCACTGCCTCTAGGACTATTATAGTACTACTCCAGAGACTGGTACAGGGGCAGTTCCTGATTATCTGTGTAAATTCCTTGTGTAAGTGAAGTTCAGACCAGGCTAGCAGTCAGCCTTGAGCAAAACATTACGTTGTGTGGCGGATTCACAGCTGGCATCCTATTTCTGTGCAAGCCCTGGGTCTTGCAGTGTTATAGAAATGCAGCAAAGCACCAATTCATGAGGCAATATGCTGAGCCACCCGAGGTAGTGGAGTGAGACCTGGGTGAGCGAGACCTAGGTGAGCTTGCTGCTGAATCTGAGTCACTCTGTGGAGGTACCTCTCCTGCGACCATGGCAGAGCATTGTCGCATTAGGTACCACAAGCTATAGGTATATTGAGGAAAAGACAGTGCCCTGCTCAGCCTATGCAGCTGGAGAAAAAATCGGGTTTAAGACAGAATTTCTCATCATCCCACTCACTCTCTTTTCCTCTGGTTTTCACAGGGGGAAAGCTCTTTGGGATTGATGTTTTTGTAGTCTTCAGAAAGACACAGAATGCTTTTGTAACCTAAAAAACACGCAACATAACTTTTTTTTTTTTTTTTTTGAGAGTATTGTGTGTGGGTGTGCATTTTTGTGGAAATAAATTCCCACTAGCCATGGTGTATGTGATAAGAAATGGAGCGCAAAGCATTTTAAATAGCTTGCCTTCTACTATTGCAAGTAATAACTTTAAAAATAAAAGACCGTCTGTGCTATTCTGTTTAAACATGAGTAAGGAGACTGCTTTTCTAACATGCATGGAGCTGTGCTACTTTAGGGATAGCAGTTTTTTGTGATGGGCATTTTAACAGCCCATGCTCTGCCCTGAGGTGGCTTGAGGATCCAGTCCCAACCTGTGCAGATGTGGTTGTGACACCCAGCCACTCCTTTCAGCTGCCTTTGCATGTCCTGATGAAGGTAACAGCTCAGCAGTGCTGCCTAGCATGGCTTTCCCTGAGAAGATAGGCAGTGTTGGGCTTTTTGAGGGGAGAGCTGCTTGTCTCTGTGGTGGTGCACTGCTTGAAGGTACGGGGTCTTAGCTGGGGTGTGAGCCCCATCTCCTGTAGCTCCCACCAGGCTTACTCAGTTCTCAGGATATGGGAATGTGGAAACAACTCTCTGTTGGCTCTGCATTCCCCTTGTTTCCAAGGAGGAGTTGCAAGCTTCCCAGACTGTACGTAGGAGTAATCCATGCAGGGAGGATTGGACCCTCTGTCATTGACAGAGATGCTTGAATTGCTTTTCTTACCTCACATCTGTCTGCCTGAATGAAGAGGAGGGAAGCAGCCGAGCTGATGCTGACCTTTCATCTTATTTGACTTCCAAATACATCGAGTGTGATCAGCTCAGCAAACTTCCAGCTTTAGCACTTGTCATTATATACATTTTCATTATACATGTGTTTACTTATAAAGAAAAATACATTCTTTGCATATTGCATTTAAGGATATGTTTTCTCAGTCAGAAGTTGATGGGATGTATTTAGCTAGGGAAATCTGATAGATGAGCTTCTATATACATGTAGTATTAAAACCCTTCTGCATGAATATAGGAACACAACATGCTCTTCAGACAGATTTAATAGGCAGCAGCGTTCTCTGAAGGGAATGACTTAATAATTCTTGTCTTTGATTTGGTAGGCCGTATTTGTTTTATTTCACTAACGTGATTTACAAATGATACACTGCAGAATGGAATGTTGCAAATTCTGTTTTTGCCCCTAGAGGGGAGTATTGTCCGTATCTCCAC